TCGTTATTTTTCATTATAATGACATTCATTAATTTTTTCTTTTCTTTTACAGGTATTCTATTTCTTCATCCTTATAAAATAGACTATTTGGCCTTAATTTTAGCTGGTACTGATCATAAAGGCCTTGATCAGGTCACTAAATTATTTCCAAAGAGGACTGGAGTTCCTATTCCAGATTGGATAATCGTGGGACCTGAATCTGCGTGGAAAGGTGCTGGTGGATTGCTTGGTGCTGGGTCTGTATTATTTATTCAAGTTTTTTTTTAAATTACAAATGCCGTTATTGATATATTTTTGTTTAATAGATTTTGGAATAATAAGTGGAGGTTTGACGATGCGATTGGTTATTTGGTGTGAAAATAAAGAACTTCATTATTGGATAACTATTTTATTTACTGTTTTTGTATATTTTGTGTATAAATTTGGATTTGGCATATATTATTTATAAAATAATTTCATGTTATGTATATTAAACCAAGAGAAATCCATTTTTTGTGTTGAAGGATTATTTTCAACAATTCAAAATTCAAGTACTATCTTTTATTTATTTCAGTTTTGTTTTGTTTACCAAAAGGATCACTTGGGGCAGGATTTTATTAGTAAATTGTATAATATGGTATTTAGCTATTTTCATTTTCGAGTATGGTGTGGATCAATAAAAACATAGCAAATATTTATTTAAAACTTTGAACAATAAATAACAAAAACTTAACAAATTTATAAAAATTTTTAGAAAAGTTCTATAAGCTTACAAATTTATTGCTTTAAAATAAAATAGCACACAACCTCTCTATATTCACCCTCCCTATACCGATAGTCACATTTGCTTATAATCAAATAAAAATTTAAAATTAGCTTATAACACATATAAAATTTAACCTCTATATGAGCACAGACTCTCTATCAGTACCAAATTCTTCAAACCAAGGGTGTGATTATAGAAATCTGACTGTATATACAATTCTAGCTGTTGTCTATTAATAATTTAGTAAGTTTAATAATGATTTAAAATTATTTTTGTAAACTAGTTTTACCAAATTATTAAACCAAAAATTGATTACGAATAGCTGAAAAATATAACATTTAGTATTACAAATTAATAATTTAGAATTAAATAACTATATTAATCAAATACCAGGAACATATTCATGCTTGCAAAATCTTGCATTTGATTGAATTGCGTCAACACACAGGTAAAGTATACTTATTAATCCAATAACAGTATTATTCGATAGCTTACGACGACAGAAACCAACAGA